CCACCAATAAGATATTGGGTCGTAAAGAAAGCACTCGAGCCACAAAGTTCTTAAGAAACTCGGATTCTTGAAGGACAAGAGGATCTAAAGATGCCAGGCGATTTTCATTTCGCTAAAATGGAAGACATGGAATCAATCATGCACTGCACAGGAAAAAAAGAACTATATTTACAGAGTTCGATGTCTTTAACATTAGAGCTACACCTACTCTGCTGGTCTCAATATTTTGTTTTAAGTGGGTGTTGCCTCCAAACCTATATAACCACTTGTGCCATCTCTAAAAATGTCCGCCTGTATCAAAGTTTTGGTAAGCACCAGCACGATCAAGGATATTACATGTAGCATCTCAAGGTAAACCAAACGCGACAGTCAACAAAACCAGAATTTCATTTCAAAATGCATTTTCTTCATACTGTTCTCTATACTTTTCCTAAGGGGCTGACAGGGAGAATTTATTTAAAAAATCGCGAGCATATTCAGTTGGCGATCATTTCCTTCATTCTAGTGACCTTAATGTTTCATTCAGGGGTGATATTAAAGGGAGGAATTCTATGCACTCTTAGGGTTCAAAAGATTAATGATGAATCCTTTTTGCATGTCACGCACCTGATAGTCGATAGCACACCTAAGGACCAGAATTTTAGGATTACTCAGCATAGAGGCCATCTTTTTATTCGCGATGTTCTTGGTGAACACAACTCCACTGATCATTTCACAGTCACTTTTATTTCCACCAGGAATCTTTTTGAACTTCACATACTCACATATGTTCATATCATCGTCTCTACGAACATCAGGAGTCACCTGTGCAATGAAAAAACGAAAAAGAACGTATGATTGGACTAAACGCGTCCGTGTCTAGATAGAGCCTGCTCCAGGCGTACGCGACCCGACCCAAACCCCACTCGTTTTTTCACTCCTCAGCCGTTTATCATCGCCTTTTGTTTCACAGATCGATCGCCTAGAACAGGCTAGAGCAGATATGTCCGAGCTAAAACTGAGGACATCTGATGATATTTCTCTCAATTTCCAGACCTTTAAATGTCCAATAGGAGAATTTGTTTAACAATCAAGGGCTTCTTTAGTTGGTGATCACTTCGTGTATTCTCGTGACCTAAATGCGCGATTCAGGGGCGATAATGTAAGGAGAAATTAGATGCTCACTGCCTTTTCTTTTTGTTACCTGTTCACTAATTCTCATTACAAGGGGTAGTATGGTATCTTTCCAATCAACTGATAGTCCAGCATCCTTCAGTAGCTGTTCCAACAGTATATTCAAATGGTAAGCATGAGAAGTCCTGAAAAAAAACAACGGATTAAAACAGCAACGAGTTTTCTGGCGTCTTTTTTGGCAATTTCCCCCACAGTTTTTTTTTTGACGACTGAATTTTCACTCCCGACGAACTCTTTATAATGGGCGACTGCGGAAAAGTTGAGCGGGGAGTTCTGTTCAATTTACGCTCGTGTGTAGACAGAGACACTTCCGAATTTAGAGTATTGTTGTAAAAAAAAACAGAAGACTATAGTCACCAATCGAACTAGACTTCCTCGGTCTAAATTACAGTGCGTTAAGTCTTGCCAGGAATCCACGTTACAAAAATGTAAGCAAGAAAACTAGTTAAGAGCAATTTTCAATTGAGCGTAGAGAGTGAAACAAGATTGCGATGGTTTTGTTTTACTTTGCTGTCATGGGTCTAAAAAACTCGCGCCAACTCCACAACCAATCAGATTGAAACTAAAATCAATCGCGTTTTGGTCACCTGCGTTTTCCCGCGCTGCAGGCACTCTGCTTGTTTTCACTTTGAGTTCTCATTGGCACCTTGTAATAGAGCGCTTGTTGATTGAGAGTTGTGTGAAACTAAAACCAAAGTAACCACAACGGCCGAACAGAAGAAAGGAAATATCTTTAAGAGCCAATGGAAACTCAAAATAAAAACCAACCAAGAGCTAAAAGGGCGGGAAAATACAGGCGACCAAGTCGTGATTGGTTTCGGTTTTGAATCTGATTGGTTGAGAGAGTGACGCGAGTTTTTCTGAACCAATCACAGAGCAAAGTAAAGCAAACCAATACAATCTCGGATAAGTTTTGGACGCTCTATCGCGAAACTCTATCCAAAAGCACCCTTTCAGATTACATAGCTGTTCTAATTATTACCACGAAGGACGCAACGTACCTCAGCCGTTCCATGGCTAGTCTCTCTCCATTGTCTTCTCTGAGTTCGCCAAGTTCAGGTTCTGGAGGTCGGTCCACACCAATCTTTCTTGCTATCATAGCACCACTGAAGATCTCGTCAGGAGTATTACTGGTGCTCAAAACCAACTCTTCTTGATTCTTCTTGTTGCTTGGTCTCAAAGGGGTGTATGGGTACCCTTCATTGTACACATACTGTTCCAGTGGGGGTGGGGGAACATCAGTGATCAGGGAAAGCTGTGATGCTTTTGCTTCACCACTGGTATCTGGGGATGTTGTGCTAAGTTTTCCTGGCTGAGATTGAAGAATCAGTTTGTCGAAGTAAGCGGAGGTACACATTTTAAAACAGTACTATACATATAACAAAGCTGGTAGCTTTAACACCAAATTCTCAGATCTAAAATTGAGAAAAATGTACGGCAAACAGTGTAGGAATTCATATTTAGCTCTTGGGAGCCTAAAGATTAAGAGCGCATACACACCTCTCCAAAATGATGCAAGTCAACCTTGAGTGACATCTCGCTGTTTCCACCCTCTGTAGCGACACCATTCATCAGGTCAAGGTCCAGTACTTTTGGTCCTTTATCGTAACCAAACAAAAATAATTGTATCAAAACTAAATTAAAATTGGATTGAATATCAACCAGATTTAGCAAAGGTAGGGCCTGTGCCAAGCCCTCAATTAGCATAGACGAGTAAAGTAGTCGGACGCAAGCGAATGTGGCGGTTTTTTAATGAAGCATTTTTTTTGCTCGTCTTCCCTGACCAAGAGAAAGTAAAGGCCAGTACTGGCATACTTTCAAGGTGTCTTTTAGCCCACTGCTTCTGATTCATCCAATTGGAATTTCAGCTGGCTACGCAGCCAATTAGCAGAAATTTTACCCTCAGTCCTTTGCTAAAGAAATGTGGTCTCTTCTTGGGGATGAATAAAGATTGGACTCAAGAATGCAATAGAATTTTCCAAAAAACACCCAAGATTTTAGGGAATTTAAAAGGATAATTTTGGGATTGCACCATGATTAAATACAAGAAAAGATTGCAAACAATGCAAAGAAAGCAGCCAAAATTTTTATTAGGGTCTAATTACAATTTGTAGGGGTTTTTTTATGAAGGGAGGAAAAATGCTGACCCCCCCGCTCCCAAAAAAAAAAGAGTAAAGTATTGCCAAGGGTATTGATCAGAATACCTGTTTTATGATTGTTCAATTTTCCAGGTGCCTGAAAGATAAATGTAAACAGACTTTGGACTTGAAACCATATTCTTACCATTGTGGACAAAGTTTAAACCAAAAAAAAAAAAAGAGTACCGCTGAAGGGTAAGCCTGTGTCACCAGCAAACATTATCTTCTCTTACTCATGTTTAAAACCACATTGAAACATAAAACTGCATTCATTTTCACATTTTCATTGATTGAAATATCTTCCAAAATCTACTAAAATTCAACCCTTTAACTCCAAGATCAAATTTGTAATTCTCATAACTGTCAACCATACAATTCTTATGATGTTAGTTGAGAGAATTTAGTATTGGATCAACCAATTAATCCCAAATTGACATTTCTTTTTATTCTCAACACTTATCTGGTTGATATTGTACTGATATTGTAAGGAGAAATTCTGTCTTGGTCACTAATGGAAGTTTAAGGGTTAAAACAAGTCACATCCAAAAATGAAGCTTTTTGGCAACATCTTCAATAAGACCAAACAATACAAGTAGATTGAGCATTCTGACCTCAAGCTTTTCAACTGAATAAAAATTGAGAACTTACCTCAAGACTGAAACTAGTGTCAAATTCTTCAATGGCCGATTCCACTCCTTGCTGCTCTAGTTGACGAAACCAGTGCGGCACCATTTCATCATTATCATCATCAACATTTTCAGGAATGTTTTGTATCTCATCACTCTCATTCAGTGGCTCGTTTTTATCAGCAGAATCTGACCAGAATAAAGACGGTCTCTTGGTGGAAATCTCACGTGCTGCAGCCTTAAAAGATAAAGATGTCAGTAATTATTGAGGTGACGCAATTCCTAGTGATCAAACAGTTCCATGCACAAAGAATGAACATATAAGAAACTACAAACACATGGTTCCAAACAAGCTCAAAATGGTTTAACCCTTCAACTCTCAGAAGTGATTGACATGTAACTTCTCCCTAGAACACCCACACATTATCCAGCAAACAGGTAACGAGAATACTCAAACTTATTAGGTTGAAATTTTCATCGTGATTTCACAGTAAATCCTTGCAACCAAGTTGCAGGAAAATGATCAGAAGCTAGAGGGGAAAATTAACAATCAGATCTTGGGATTTAAAGGGTTAAAAAGCCATCTTCCATGAGGCAAACCAGTTTGGTTGACCAAGGAACTGGACACAATCTAACCAAGAATCATCTTCAGCTGGTGATCAGAGCAGGACTAGCGACCAAGAATGTCTAGATTGAAAGTCCAAGGCCCTTGCTAATCTGCTCACTAATCATCCTTTTTGTCCTCTTAATTAAAACTCTTTTTTCTCTCTTGAGAATTACTAAAAAATACACAAAATGGGTACAGAGCAAGGTCAGCCATGTACCAGTACTTACAACTCCAGGCTGGTAAAGGATATATTCATCTTTGAATACTGCTCCCCCATCACGAGTGTTTGGAACAGGTTCCAGCCAGCCAGACTCCAGTAAGCCTTGTCCTATCATAACTGCTTGTTGTCTAGAGAAATTATATAAATTATAAAGGGGATAAGTTTGTTTTAAAACAAAGGATTGGGACATCTTCATAATGGTCTATTTTCCTACAGGTGGTGACTTTTTTCTGTCATCTTAAATAGATTCCTCTTCTTGATTAACTATTTGTGAATTTCTACAATTTTAATGAGCTACTAAGTTAACAAAAAGATATTAAATCAATTTTTTCTATTCCCATAATTAAGTCTTGTTTTAGCAAACCTTCTCTTGCATTTTCTTCCAGTACCATAGAAACATTCTCATGTTATTAGATTTGCAGTCACAGTCACAGTGACTACAGCCTGTATGTGATATTCCTAAACTTGGCATTTCTTGAATTTTTTCATTTTCATTTTCTTTCTTCCTTTTAAACTTGGAAATGATATTTCACATCCAATAACAACATAAATAGAGAAAAATGAATAAAAGGAAAGAAAAATGAAAATTCCTTGAAAATTGAACCACATTGCTCTATGTCTGATGTAAAAGTTATTTGACAAAGATGAAATCAATTCTTTTTTTGATTTCTTCAATGGACAGAGCATAACATGAAGGGTTTTTTATTTCATTATTATCTTTTTAATGAATCAGTTCTTTCAATTTTGCCTCAGAGTTAGTTCTCTGGTTTTAAGCTTCCTCAATTTGTGGTTTTCACTTTTTCCCTTTGCTGTTGCAAGGTTTTCAGTTTTAATAAAAAGAAAACATCTTTTGGTTATTGTTATTGGCAGGTTTTCTTTCCAGGCCCCCATCATCTCTCTTTGGTTTGGATTAACCCTTCACACCCTAACATCAGTATGCATATTCTCCATACTGTTCCCTATACATTTCCTAAGGTGCTGAAAAGGAGAATTTGGTTAGCAATCTAGAGCTTCTTTAGTTGGTGATTATTTCAGTTGTTCTCATGACCTTAATGTTTGATTCAGGGGTGATATTATACGGAGAAATTAGACGCTAGTCACTCTTAAGAGTTAAAAGGTTGATACAAGGTTTATTGTTGCAGTTGTTATTGTTTTGGGTATTTTACTAATTCCTTTGGTCAGTTTTGACACAAATTTCCACTGGCTTTTGAAAAGCAGTTAACCCCTTGCATCCTAACATCAGTATCCATATTCTCCCTACTCTTCTCCATATGTCTCTTTTGATACTGACAAGGAGAATTAATTTGAAGGTCAAAGCTTATTAGGTTGCCGATCATTTCATTTATTCTCATGATCTTAATGAATGGTTCAACAGCATTACTGTAAGGAGAAATTAGATACTGGTCACTCTTAAGTGTCTCAAACACCATTCTGGAAATTCTAAAGATCTCAATGTTAAAAAACTTAACCCTTTCACTCCCAGAAGTGATTAGCATGTAAATTCTCCTCACAATACCCATACATTACCCAGCAAACAGGTAATGAGAATACTCAAACCTATCAGGTACGAGTTGCCATCTTGATCTAAAAACCAAATTCTTGTACCTAATTTGTAAGAAAATGTGTAACAGCTAAATGGGAGAATTAAAATCAGATCTTGGGTATTAAAGGGTTTAAGTAATCTGAAAGTATAAAGTTTAGAGTTATTTATTACTGTAGGGCTGTACCTTGTGGATGCCTTTTCATGCATCAGGAACCAATCTACCAACTCGCTTCCAACAAAACAATTTTGATAAGTCCTTAAACGAAACCTGTGACTCTGCAGGTCCAGCCCAGATCTTGGAGACATTATTTGATTCCATAATTCTCGGAAAGAATCCTTGATTGGCAAAGGTGAAAATTAAAATTAAACGTACATTGTAAAACAAGACATTTTACTTAATATGTTTTAAACAAATTAACTGTATATACAGAGCCTTCCAAAGCAAATGGAAGCACAGACTCCCAGTAGCTTGATAGTAA